TGGTAGCACCACTGGTACCACTACTGGTAGCCCCTGGTTCCCCCACTGCTTCCACCATGGTACCATACTTGTAGCACCACTGGTTACCAAACGCTTCCAAACCCCTGGTACCACTTTCTGGTGCCACCACTGGTTCCTTACTGACCCACGGTACCACTACGTTTCCCCCATGGTTTTAACCCCATTGTACCACCATGCTTCCACCATTGGTAACACCATTGCTTCCACCACTGGTACCACCACTACTTCCACCAATGGTACCACCACTACTTCCACCACTGGTACCACCTCTGCTTCCACTACTGGTACCACTGTTTCCACCACTGGTACCACCAAGTCCACTACTGGTACCACCACTGCTTCCACCACTGGTTCAACCACTGGTACCACTGCTTCCACTGGTGCCACCGCTTCTTCCACCACTGGTACCACCAGTACCTCAACCAACAACACAGTCTGCTCACATTGCCGTATTCTTGGCACAAGCAGCCACCCACTCGTACCCAATCAGCCCACCCGCCTCATTCTGCGGGTAGCAGTCGGGTAAGGCATTAGCAAGTCCCTACCCGCATCTCCTACCCCTTCCTCTCGGCTCCAGATTATTCTCTTTCTTGTATAATTTCCAGGTGATGCGCGCCAAATTTTGCCAGAAGACGCGGGGCGAGGCGCCAGAGGAGAGAGCTTTTCCAGCACAGTTTGTGGTATTTTGGTGCGAGATTAAGAGGAATTTGTTCTTGTTTCACCTTTAAGGCTGTTGATGCTGATGAATGGCTCTTAATTCAAGGAACTTGAGCTATTTATTTCCTCGGATCAATTTTGATTGCTTCCCATTACCCAGATTGTTATAATAACAATAGCCTGATAATAGGCTCACGATAAGCGGACGGAGGATCGAGAATTCACTACTTCTAGACAGCGAAACATGACTTAGTAAAGCTCTACATAGGGTGAAACGTGCCTTGATAAAGCTTTATTCGGAGGGAAACGTTGTCTTTCTAAATTCTGCAATGTGGGATTTTGAATTAGGTCTTGTTGGCAATCTCTCTCTCTCTCTCTCTCTCTCTCTCTCCTCTCTCTCTCTCTCTCTCTCTCTCTCTCTCACACAGGCAGTCTGGCGCCTGGGGAACAGAAGCATAAACATTAATAAGCAGCCGGGTGTGGGACTCATGCTAGGTCAAGAGTCCTCTCCTTAGAAGAGAGAGAGAGATGAGAGATGAACAGGGCTGAATAACAGTACACAAATGCTTACAATCTGAGGAAATGATTCTTCGCGCTGTCTTGTGGAGGTGGAGAAAGTGGTGGTAGAGAAGGTGGAAGAGAAAGAGGAGGTAGAAGAGAAGGTGGGAGAGAAAGTGGAGGTAGAAGAGAAGGTGGAAGAGAAAGTGGAGGTAGAAGAGAAGATAGAAGAGAAGGTGGAAGAGAAAGAGGAGGTAGAAGAGAAGGTGGAAGAGAAAGTGGAGGTAGAAGAGAAGGTGGAGGTAGAAGGTGGAAGAGAAAGTGGAGGTAGAAGAGAAGGTGGAGGTAAAAGAGAAGGTGGAAGAGAAAGTAGAGATAGAAAAAGTGGAGGTAGAATAGAAGGTGGAAGAGAAAGAGGAGGTAGAATAGGTGGAAGAGAAAGTGGAAGAAGAAGAGGTGGATGAGATGGTGGGGGTAGAGGAAAAAGTGGAGGTAGAAGAGAAAGTGGAGGTAGAAGAGAAAGTGGAGGTAGAAGAGAAAGTGGAGATAGAATAGAAGGTGGAAGAGAAAGTGGAGGAAGAATAGAAGGTTGATGTGGGAGAGAAAGTGTAATTAGAGGAGAGAGTGGAGGTAGAAGAGAAGTTGGAAGAGAAAATTGAGGGAAAGAAGGTGGAGTCAGAGGAGAAAATGGAGTTGAAAGAGAAAGTGGAGGTAGAAGAAGGTGGATTAGAAAGGTGAGGTTGAGGAGAATGTGAAGAAAGGCTGAGAACACTTTCCCTGAGGATGGAATAAGTGGAAGAGTGTTGACGGGAGAGGAGAAAGCCTTCCCTGTGGAAGAGTACGTGAAGAAAGGGGGATGGGCAGAAAGATGAGAGGGAAAGAAAGGGGCTCGGGCTATGCAGTGGTGTTTCCCCTTTGTCACCTTTTCACTGGATGCTGATTGTAGCACTTATGAAAGCAGAAAAGGCATGTGTATGATGTGAGGAAAGGGAGCGAGGGTAGGAAAGGGGTAGAGCAAGGAGAGGGAAGCCAGTGGGAAGGAAAGAGGGAGAGAAGGGGAGGGGGAGATCTCGTGGAAGATGAAAGGATGGGATAGGAAGGCAGGCTGGAAGGTAGGTGGAGCAGGAGGAAGTATTGGGAGTACATGAGAGTATACCTTCGTGTTGCATCTTCTGCCACAATCAAAGTTACCACTATATGAAGGGGTTGAAAGGAACTCCAGGTACTTTAAGCAGTTCTGAATACTGGAAAGTGTCCAAGTATTTCGGTATCTTAGAGTTTGAATTAAATCTTCTGGTCTACCCTTCAGTTGGTAGCGCACTTAGCTCACACGTTGAGTGTCCGTGGTTCGATTCCTGGTACGGGTGAAAACATTTGGCGTCTCTCCTTACACGTGGTGTCCATGTTCACCTGGCAGCAAGTAGGTACCCGAGTGTTAACTGACTGATTTGGGTGGCATCCTGGGGAAAATATTTACCTAATTTTCCCGAAATGCTCTACATAACAAGGGGCTTTCTATATAGTATGTCACTGATGTTAGGTATGGTCCGTATATCTTGTATCATATGCATGTGGAAATATAATTAACAAATCAGGGTACGGGTGAGGATTGAACTCGCGGCAAGCGAGTCTTAAAATTCCAGACCAATGCGTAAGCCACCCATACCCTGGTTTGTTTGAAATCAAATTACTATTATTATTATTATTAATTATTATTATTATTGGGTTAGTTTCTAAGTAATGGTTGTTTCTCCATAGCATCTTCACTATATAAACCATACCACGGGCGGGATTTGAACTCGCGGTCAGAGAGTCTCAATATATCTTCGTCTTTGAGGTTCCTTATTTCGCTGCTTATTAGACGCATTTTTTCCATAAAACGTCTCCAAACATCACCCTGCGTCCTATACACTGAAGGTCAGTGACGGGAGCTGTAACTAGGGGTGTGGGCTGTAGCCCTCCCAGTTACGTCCGGTGCTGAGCCATTGTAACTAAGAGAAGTCTTATAAGCCGCGTCTTATAAGCCGCAAAATACGGTATTTTGGAAACCACATTTGGTATATATTTAAGACGAAGTCTAGCTGGAATATAGAAAGTAGGTATAGTGTCTGGTGTTTGTGCGAGAAATTCCTAGCTTTACACTCTAGAATGGTGTTAGGTTTCTGGTTGTATATATTGTAGATACTTGAGTTGTGGTCACAATGGTGGCCTATGCTAACCTTCCTATGGTGTAGAAATATACCTAGTTGGACGAATCTTATTGTGGCTAGCTGGTCCAGTGGCTAACGCGACGGTCTGGAGTTTTGAGTGTGTGTGACCGCGGGTTCTATCTCCGCCCTGGTATGGTTTGTTTGCAATCGTGTCATTACGATTTCGTGAGTCAGTTAAGTTGTTGTTTAGGACGAGTCTAAGTTCTTTTTCTTGTTTGGATTCGGTGGCAAGCACTTTGTATATATATTTGAGATTGGAATATTTGAATAAGGCATTACTTTGTACCGACCATAGCGCCAGTCTGTCCAGGTCACTCAGGATGCCCAATCTGCTTTGTCCAGGTCACTCAGGATGCCCAATCTGCTTTGTTCAGAGCACTCTGGATGCACAATCTGCTTTGTTCAGAGCACTCTGGATAAACAGTCTTTGTCCAGGTCACTCAGGATGCCCAATCTGTTTTGTCCAGGTCACTCTGGATGCCTAGTCAATCTTTGTCCAGGTCACTCAGGATGCCCAATCTGTTTTGTCCAGGTCACTCTGGATGCCCAATCTGCTTTATCTAGGAGACACTGGATGCCCAATCTGCTTTGTCCAGGTCACTCTGGATGCCTAGTCAATCTTTGTCCAGGTCACTCTGGATCTGTTTTGACCAGGTCACTGGATACCCAATCAATTTACTTTGTCCAGGTCACTGGATGCCCAATCAATCTGCTTTTCCCGAAGTTGATGTCAGCCGAAGATTTTACTGTCTGAGATGTTCGTGTTGCCTCTAGATGATTTATGTAAACAAACCATACCACGGGTGGGGTTTGAACCCGCGGTCAGAAAGTCTCAAAACTCCAGACCGTGGGTTCAAACCCCACCCGTGGTATGGTTTGTTTGCTATCGTGTCATTACGATTTCGTGAGTCATGATTCATGTACGTGGTAAAGGGAACTGGACCAAGACACAATTCCTAGGGAACTCCACTCCTGGGGAGTGACACTCCCTATTTCCTGTCTGTCAGCATATTTGTTTCCACACTGTGCTTATAGTCTGTCAGCATTTTTATCATGGAGGAGCGCTAAACCAATAGGGATGGAAGGTATTTAATCTCAAGGGAACTGGAGCACAGATCCAATTCCCTAGATGAAGAGCCCCTCACCAGGAGGATCTCCCTATAGGAAATTCTGGCCAGCAATCATCAGTGGTGACAGTTATCTGCAGACGATATATATTACAACTGTCGGGATTTTTTCATCCCAGTTTTTGGAACATTTAAACTCGATTAAGTTCGTCAGGCATGAACTTGTGTTACGAAATCCATGCTAATTTGCTATTATTTTTTTAATAAAGTTGCGTAAGATTCGCCAGGAAACATAATGACCAGCCACGGGAGTTTATGGTCATCTGTCAGAGGACTTCTGCTGGCTTACCCCTCACCCCTTTTAAAAATTATGGCTATACTTACAACCATTAGATGATGATAATTTATTTATTAACCCATTGGCCGTCTCCCACCAAGGCAGGGTGGCCCGAAAAAGAAAAACTTTCACCATCATTCACTCCATCACTCTCTTGCCAGAGGCGAGACAGTTAATCATAAGAAGCGATAGTTGAAAAAACAGACCATTAACCAGTTTTTAAATCAAGGGGAAACCATTATAAGCTTCCAATTTAACACAAAACCCA